GAGCAGGGAGCCCGATGCGGGACTCGATCCAGGGACTCCAGGATCATGACCTGAGCCGAAGGCAGTCGCTTAACCAACTGAGCCACCCAGGCGCCCTTACTTAAATTTTTTTAAGTTGAAGATTAAAATGTGTTTTATGAATTACTAATTTTTCATTTGTTGCATTATATCTTTCTTACTTTTGTGCCCTTTTAAATTTTTTTTAAAGATTTTATTTATTTGGGGCGCCTGGGTGGCCCAGTTGGTTAAGCAACTGCCTTCAGCTCAGGTCATGATCCTGGAGTCCCTGGATCGAGTCCTGCATCGGGCTCCCTGCTCGGCAGGGAGTCTGCTTTGCCCTCTGACCCTATCCCCTCTCATGTGTTCTCTCTCATTCTCTCTCTCTCAAATAAATAAATAAAATCTTTAAAAAAAAAAAAGTTTTATTTATTTGAAAGAAACAGAGAAGAGAGAAAGAGCGCAAGCAGGGGGGAGGTGGGGGGCAAGGAGGGGGGGAGAATCCCAAACAGACTCTGTGCCCTGAGCGCAGAGCCCGGTGGGGCTCTATCTCATGACCCCAAGATCATGACCTGGGTGGAACCAAGTCGGACGCTCAACCAACTGAGCCACCCAGGCACCCCAGTTTTGTGTCTCTTTAATAATGCTTACTACATGCCCCACAAAAAAGAATCACCAAGTCACAGAATAATACAGTTAGCGAACAAACATTCTCAAAATTAAATATTACTAGTAATTGAAGAAATACAAATGAAAATATCAAGCTACCATTTTCCACCATTAAAAGTTTTTTGTTGCTTTCTTATTACAAAAGTATAACACGTCTTCATTGTACAGAATAAGAAAATAGCAGAAGAAAGCACAGTGGCAGCATAATTAACATCTCATCACGTAGATGCCAGCCTTTGTTTTATCCATGTCTAAGATTTACCTAACAGTCGGCTGCTATTGACATGTACTTGAATTTTTGTTATTATAAGTAATGCTGCAATAAACACCCTGTGCGTGTTTTTGTTTTCATCTCAGATTATTTTGTTAGGACTAGTTCCTAGAACTGCCATTGCTGGGTCAAAGCATATGGCATTTTTAAGGGTTTTGATGATCTTTTCCCAAGTTGCTGACCAGAAAGGTTCTATCAGACATGGGAGAGTACTGGCTCATGCGTCTTCTAATCCATGTTGTTTATGTTGTTTTCTTACCTTCACATTTTGATAGCTCCAATATACTCTCTCATTGTTTCAGTTTTTACTTCTTTGATTCATAATTTGAATATGATTCATAATTTGAATTCATAATTTGAATTCATAATTCAATGAACATTTTCATTATTTTTTAAAATAGGTTCCATGCCCAGCGTGGACCCCACATGTGAGGCTTGAACCCACGATCCTGAGATCAAGACATGAGCGGAGATCAAGAGTCAGACACTCAACTGACTGAGCCACCCAGTTGCCCCAGTAATCAGGACATATTTTCCATGTCCTACCAAAATACTATAAAGAAAAATCTTCATTGCCAAATTAAGAGAAAACAAACAAAAGACACACACCAAAATGTTAAACAAAAGAAAAACAGATAAAAATGTCTACTTCTAAACAATAAACTGTGCAGCTATTAAACCATTAAATATGGGGGCACCTGGCTAGCTCAGTGGAGTTGTGTGACTCTTGATCTCAGGGTTGTGAGTTCAAGTCCCATGTTGGGTGGAGAGACTACTATAAAAAAAAAAAAAAACCACTGTGTGCAAAGTATTTCAACTGACGTAGGAAAAAAAATGTATAATATTAAGTAAAACATTAGAATGGTAAATGTTTATGTGTAATTTGATCTACTATACTCCTTAAATGTGGAAGAGAAAAACCAGAAAGAAAATATGCCAAAATTCAATTGCTACTGCATGGTGATGGATGACGTTTAATATCTCATAATTTTTAATACTTGCCACATTTTTTATTATTAACGTACCACATTTGTGAAGAAAACACATTTCTGTTAAGTACACTACATACATGGTATAAGAGAGGAGAGGAAACTGTCCATCTGCAATTTGTGTATCATGTATTCTCAAGATAATATTAAAAATTTGATTTTGAAACAGCATAAACAGGTAACATAAATAAGATTCTGCTAAGCGGTTTAACAGCCACTTGTCAAAATGTTAAAAGTTCCACCTGCTTGAGAAGCTGACAATTGTTGGAATTCCCTGAAAATATGAAATTGTTTACAACTTTTTTCCTTTTTAGGTTGCTGCTGTTGATCTTCTGGTTCCTGGAGTTGGAGAGCTCTTTGGAGGAAGCCTCAGAGAGGAACGGTACCATTTTTTGGAGCAGCGACTGGCCAGGTATTGATCAGACCTAAAAGAAACAAAATTCAGAATTGGGGATGAGATGCTCGAAGGCAGTCTTGACAAGTTAACAGAGAAGAGCAGATGGGCCTCAGCGCCTGACTGACCTGGATCTCAGATTCTCTGTGGCCTTGAGCAAGTTGGTATGTGACCTTTTTGAGCTTCCCTTTCTTAAAGATTGGAAGTGTTATATGAAATAAGGCTGCAGTGATATGTACCCACTATTTGGTATGTATCTCTTCCTATGAAAATTGCCTCTTTAAAAAGTTAATGACAGAAAACAACCTTAAAGCTTGTCCTTCATTTTCTCTCTTCTCTGTGTTCTTTTTTATTTACTCTAAATTATGATTAGGGACATAAACAAAGACTCCTATAAGGACATAAAGAAAAAACAGACTCTGAACCAGGGAAAGGGTAAAGATGAAGAAAGATACTAAAAATATCCACTAAACTAAAGTTTAGAGTAGCAGTTTTCCCTTCCTCAGGTTTTCTGCTATGTAAGGGTCTTGATTAAGCTCTTTGAATAACTCATTTTAACTTGCTGTTTGAGACCTAGGAAATGAATCCATAAACACACAGAAAATGTTTTGGAGATGAGAAGTGGGGAATCATGTTTCTAATTGAACTACCACTCCTATGTATGCGTGGTCTGCCAACAAACCACAATGACTTCCTAAACTAACGAAGTTTATAAACCTCTGTTTTCCATGGTTTCTACTGTTGCTGTGCCAGACTTAAAAAAAAAAAAAAAAAAAAAAATTTTCCCATGTTGAAGGCTTAGTCCCGCTCTCCTACTCTCCAGATAATACTGGGTTTCATAGTAACCCGGAAAAGCCATAATAGTTTGAAAATATCCTGTTAAATTAGCCATTTGTAGGGCCTTCTTTTCCTAATGGAGAATTGCTTAAAAAGTTGATGCTTTTCCAAGATCCCAACCTATAAGTTTGTTGGGTAACTTGATTTTGTAATCCCAATCATTTGAACTGCTCTATTTGGTTAGGGTCCAGAAGAAAGGAAATAAATATGTTCTGAGAGGCCTCTTTTTTATTAGACTACTAACTCCTTATTATTACTATAATGTTAGAAAGTCCTGGGAAAATCATGGAATTGAAGTAAAGGTCAAACTCCTTAGATGGAAAGAATTTGAAGATTCTCTGGGTTTTTTTAAATTAAAGCACAATAAAAATCACACATGGCAAGAAACCTCATCTGTTGAAAGATTAATTGGTCTGTTTTCTTTGCTTGCTTCCTTCCTTCAGGAAACCTTTCCTCATAACATTACATGTTTACCTAATATCTGATAATATCCAAATTTATCTTTCCTAATGAAATGGTTATATGTCTCAGGAATCTATCTGTGACCTCTGCTTATGTTTTCTGTATATCTGATTTTTTTCATAGTCCTTATCATTTCAGATGCATTGATCCCAAACACTTTTTTAAAGGGCTGAAATTAATTTCTTTTAAGATTTTATTTTTAAGTAATCTGTACACCTAACATGGGGCTGAAACTTAGAACCCCGAGATCAAGAGTTGCACGCTCCACCGACTGAGCCAGCCAGGCAATGAAGAGATGAAATTAATTTTAATGAGTACTAAGAGCTTAAAATTTTATTAACATTTCTCAAATTGGCAAAAAAACCAATTTGCAACCATATTCTGAGGGCAGAATCTGTATTATTTTAATGTTATAGAATGAAATGTGTGTCTTTATCTCCCTTGTGTGTGCCTCCTAGCAACCTTAAGTAATAGTGCTTTTCTTATGTTGTAGGACAATAAGCTCATCTGAAATGAACCCCTTCTTTTGGGCTCTGGACTATCTTTCTATAGCATTTGTCATCTATACCACTTACTTGATAATACCTAGGACTATTGGTTAACTTACCTTTGTTACCATATTAAAGAGTCAGCTTCTTAACTATATTGCATGTTCTTTGAGAGCATAGGTTTTTGTGTGTACTTCTTTATTAAGAGCCCCTTGCACATAACCCAGAGTAAATGTTTGGTGGTTAGTATCTTTATCTTATTGCCATTCTCTGAACGAATTTTGTTATTTTCCTCTTACAGATCAGGACTAACAGAAGCCTACCAATGGTAAGAATGTGGTCCTTGATCATTGTTATTATAGCTGGTGGTCTGATTGTTACATAGGTTTTACATGTATTCCCTAGGCACTATGGAAGAGTATTAAGAACAGTGAATAGGTAGGTTCTCAGAAGATTACTTATTCCCTTCAAGTGCTGGGAAATAGTAATAATATTGGATGCCATTTATTTATTATTGTGTGCCAGATAACTCTGTTAACATTTTAATCTTTTTTTTTAAGATTTATTTATTTATTTGAGAGGGAGAGAATGCAAGCCAGGGGAGGGGCAGAGGGAGAGAGAGAGAGAATACCAAGCAGACTCCGCACTGAGCATGGAGCCCAATGTGGGGCTGAATCCCAGGATCCTGAGATCATGACCTAAGCCAAATCAAGAGCCAGACACTCAACCGACTGAATCACCCAGGTGCCCCTTAATGTATATTTTCTTATGTAATTATTATAACACCCTGTGAGTTAGGTACTATTTTTATCTCCTTTTTGTTACCCCTCCAGACCTAAGGCCAAGAGATGTTAACTAACTTAACCAAGAGCACACAGAAGCATAGAGCTGGGGCTCTATGGTTCCTAACCATTATGCTTCAGTTTCTCTATGTGTGGAATTAGGGTTTGAGAGAAGTGCTCCCTAAAGTCTGTAGAAATCTAAGCTGCATAGGGAGGATCACTTGTCTGCATTCATACATTTACGTCTCCAGAGTTGTTCTGGTTTTCTTTCTGCAGACCCTTTCTTCTTCAAGTATTTTTCAATGTATACAAGTTATGTACTTATATTTTTATAGTAGCATTCCTTCATAGTAATTATTAATATTATTAATTGCTTTGCTGTCCTCAGGAGAAGGAAGAATCAAATTACACACCTGACTTTTGGTAGTGGAAGAGCTAGGTTATAGAAATACCAAAAGCTTAAAATTATGTTCAGGTCATGACCCTTGAATGCCTTATTATTTACCAGTAGTAACCTTAGGCATACTTAATCTCTGAGTCTTGGTTTTCTTGGCTATAAAATGGAATGGTAATACCTACTGAACAAGATTATTGTAAGGATGAAATGAAACAATATAGGTTAAGTATCTACCTAGAATAGAACCTCAGTAAAAGCTAGTTTCCTTTCCTTTTCCTTCCTTTGTTCTCAGTCTTGTTATTAGGTAGATGAGCCTGACCAAGCAAGCTTATGCATTTTGCCTGCTTTTGTCTATCTACAAGATAATTTTCATAGTGTGTAAAAACTAGCTAAATCACAAATTCTGATTGCTGGTTAGATACGTTGAGGCCTTTTGGTCTTTATTAATCATTTCAATACTATCTTGTCCCAACTAAAGTTTTCAAATTCTTAGGATCTCTAAATGAACTGTTATTTGAATCTGTTTCCTTTTATCTGATAATCATAGTATTTAAAAGGTAGAAGGGATTTTAGAAGTCTTTAAGTCTGCGATCTCTGCTAGCGTTCCACTACACTGTGAGTAGTCACCCCAGGTGTCTAAGAATTTACTCACTTCCTATTTCTATATGCCATATGCAAATAACATATATAACTAGTTCCACAAATTTTGTACCATCTCTTCTATAATCTGGCTACCCTAGAATCAATTTAACAACAATCCAAAAAAAAAAAAAAATCCAACAAATACGTATTTGTTCAAAAACTTGTTTTTTAGACGTGTATTTTTCTATATATTGAAGCAAGGGCAAGAAAAATGCTATAGACTTATTCCATCTGCTGAATTCAGTTTCCAGACATTTATGCCAGTGTTTTGACATCGATGTATGAGAAATTCAGAGACAGCTAAAGCTATTGGTGGACTTCTAGCAGCCAGCCCAGATCCTGCAGGTATTTGTGGCAGGTGGTTTGATAGGCCTTTCATCTCATTTTCTCAGTAAATGAAAGTATATCCTGCCCCCATGCCTTACGAACTTAAAGTTAATTCAGCTACAAAACATTTTATTTACTTAAGACTGTGCTTCTTCCATTATTCTTTTTTTTAAGGTTTTATTTATTTATTTGTCAGAGAGAGAGAGAGCAAGCACAATCAGAGGGAGTGGCAGGCAAAGGGAGAAGCAGGCTCCCCGCTGAGCAAAGACCCTGATGCGGGGCTTAATCCCAGGACCCCGAGATCATGACCTGAGCTGAAGGCAGACGCTTAACTGACTGAGCCACCCAGGCGCCCCTTCTTCCATTATTCTTGATAGTTCTTAATAATCTGAAGTTTTATACTAGATACTCCTGTTTATTGATCCCTTACTTGATTGTAATTCACCTTGTTGCAATTCATCTTTTATTTTAGAAAGATAAGCATTCAGTCTTAACTGCCTAAAATACCAATACATGTGGTCATTATTATTAATAGTGGGGAAATAGGTGATAGTCTTTTTTTTTTTTTTTTTAAGATTTTATTTATTTGAGAGAGAGCGAGAGAGAGCACGAGCAGGGAATGTGGGGCACAGGGAGAGAGAGAAGCAGGCTTCAGAGGGAGCCTGACATGGGGCTTGTCGAGGGGCTTGATCCTAGGACCCTGGGACCATGACCCAAGCCAAAGGCAGATGTTTAACTGCCTTATCCACCCACGCAACCTATGATAGTCTTTATTCTTGAAGAGTCATATATAGCACTTAAGTTTTATTCTAGAACTGATTTTACAGATCATTCAAGAAGCTCTAAACTTGATTTAATCAATATTGTATAACTAAAGAATTCCCCCACCAAGTGACATAATAAAAATACTTACAAAGTCTTCCTTCTTCTCTTCCTTTTGTAAAATAAATTTATCATAGGCTGGTGTGTTGGAATCTGAGTTTGAATCATGGCTGCACCATTTTCTAGCCATGTAATCTTAAGTGGAAATAGAATGAGTATAGATAAGCTTCAGAGCCTAGCTAGCCTTTCAGAAAAATGACTCTGGACTTATTCTACTAGGTTTGAAGCACACAACTGGAAATTTCACTCTAGATTTCAAGAGTCTATTTTTGTGCCTTCAAACAACAAATCTTCATAGAGTAATGAAGCATCTACTCCAGAGCAGACACTGGAAATAAGACACAGTTCCTGCCCTTGATAGAGCTTACAGTCTATTCTAGTAGGGGTATCTTTTTATAATATATCAGGCAAAACTCTTCACCCTCTTCTGTGTATTGAACAGTATGATTTTAGTAAGAAAAAAAGTATTCACATACTAAGAAATAGAAAACAAATATATATTCAAGAAAAATAGTAAAGTTATTAGAACATTTTCTGTAGCCTCATGAGGCAAGTTTTCTGTATATAAGTACATATATAATTTAAAAAGGATCAAGTGACCAAAGCCCATGAATGCATGACAGGACTTGCTGCTGTTTGTCTGAGTAACCGTGGACAGATCATTTTAACTTCTCTGTGTCCTTCACCTGTCCTTGGAGGGAAAAGATTTGTTTATCAAAATGATGTGGACGATAACAGATGATCGCAAAATACTTTTGAAACAAAATTCTGTCATGACATCTGATCCAATACAGCATCTATAGGTGATGATTCTCTGTTTTTCAAAATCAGGTATCTGGACCTCCGTCGATTTGGATCTGTTCCCCATGGAGGTTTTGGGATGGGATTTGAACGCTATCTGCAGTGCATCTTGGGAATTGACAATATCAAAGATGTTATCCCTTTTCCAAGATTTACTCATTCATGTATTTTATAGCCGGAAGCCTGGTTAAGGAAAATCACCCCATGTCAGAGGTACTGCACATGAATATGCACATAGGAGAATGCACGTTTGAATTTTAGAAATGGAGAAGTTTTCGGTATGTGACTGTCATGCCATAAGGTAGAGCATGTGAAAAATAGAAGTGATCATAATTTTCTTAGAAAGTTGAGAGCATTTCATGGAAAGATGAACTCCCTCAAAGAGAGGTACTTGTGGCAGGCAGAATCTCAAATCTGTTATGTCAATTAAGAAGAAATGAAAAGACTGAACTGTGGTCTCAGAGTCCTTTCAGACTCTCAAGACAGGATGAGATAGTGTATTTTAATTTGTCTTTAATCATTAGATCACTGCCCTGTGTGGCCTTTGAGAACCACTAGTAGCTAAAAAGAAAATGTTGGATCTTTTTTCATGTGCCATTTAACCTATGATAAATGCCCATCTTATTTTCATCACTTTACTAGACATCACAGAAGAAAATATTCCTTTCAGGGTCCTAACTGAGTTAATAAAGTTACTATTCTGGGAATTGAAATCTTCTTTAATCAGACTGGGTGAAAAAAGTGACATTTAATAACTGTTGATCTTTAATTATAAAAGCGAATGAGATGCATTAATTATCTAAACTGATGACTTATAATTTGTTTATAGTAGCTGTTTATAACTTCTCTAATAATCAATAAAATAGATTTTTGATACCTATGAAAGAAAAATACATTTTTAAATTCCACTTGGCCTTTTCCCAGTGAAATTTGGAAGAAAGGTATTTTCAATGCAAGATGAGGATGCCAATATAGCTAAACTTAAAGGATGGGTAATTCTGGACTCAAAAAGTAACATCGTCTATTAGAGTTTTTGAGAGGATTGCTCATTTGGGAGTTTGAGACCTGACAATTGTAGCACTTTATGCGTATGATTTTGGACAAGCCACTTAACTCTGTATGAGTTCATACGTCATTTTCCTCAGAGTTGATATAACAGTTACATGAAAGTGTTGTGTGTGTGTGTTTAAAACTGTGAAATGCTACACAAATTGTTTTTAATTCTTTTAGTCTTCATTAAGTTACATATCTATGACTTACAGCAAAGTTGTATACTCAGTAGAGTTTGTATGTATCAAATAAGGGTAAACGGCATGCATGCCTACATAATCAATTTTCTGTGTCTCATTAGATAATTTATCTTAGTTTATTTCCTAATGAGTGTGTATGTGCACTTTATTTCGTCCTAACTCAAAGCAAACAACTGAAAATAACTGCAGAACCTTAGAGCTGGAAATCACAGAAGTCACTGAGATGTTCTCATGACCAAACTTCTGCCGGATACAGAGAGATCCTATACACCTGGGCAGCCTCTTCTTGGCAAGGTGCTCGGTATCCCACCAAATAGCTCATTCCGTTTCTGCATCTCCCTAATTGGTAGCATTTGCTGAGCTAAAATCTACTTCCCTAGAACTTTCATAGCCTGGGCTTCGATACCAAGTTTAAGACAGGACAAAAGAGGTAATTAGGGCTTTCATAAAGCTTGCCTCAATCATGGGTTAGAGAGATAAATTCATTTGTTTGTTCAACAAATATTATTTGAGCTTATTCTATATGCCAAGAACTGTGCTAGGTGCTAAATAAATGATAGTGAACAAAACAGAAATGACCCCTGCCTTCATGGAATTTATAGTCTGTTAGAGAAGATACACAATCAGTAAGCAAACAAACATATTATTTCAAAATATGACATAAGCTATAAAATTTTATAAAGAGCAGGGCAAGCATAGATAAGCTTGCTAGAGAAGTCATCTCTGAAAAGGTGATCTTTAACCTTAGGCCTGGGAGATAAATGCAGAAACCATTCTAAAACATTCTCAGCATCAGTATTGATTTGACATTCAGGTCTTAATACTGTATTAATTTTGTGGAGTGAGAATCACAAACACAGGCCCCCAACCCGGAGGCACTAATATTTTCCAAGGCTATCAGGAATCATGTCTCCAGCAATTCTTGAGGAACCAGCTAGAATTCTAATGTCAAGGTGATGGTGGGGCCTCCTAAATAACAGTGGTGCAAAAAATAGTGAATCAGGAAAACCCCAGGTTCCTATCCCATGCCACCACCGATGTAGCTGTGGAGCACTGGTAAGCAAGACCATCTTTGTGCCCTCCAGTCATGTCACCTGTGGAACTGTCCTTCCCAAGTGCATCAACTCCAAGGATTCTTCTTCTGTCTCTTGATCTTTCAGGAATCTGTGCTGGAGATAGTCACTAAAAATAATTGATTTAGAGTCTAACATTTACATTTTATTTTAGTACACATTAGGTCTCCGAAAATGTACCATGAAATCAAATCACTAAAAGTCTTACAATAGACTTGTGTGTTCCTTGTGTGTGTATGTGGGGTGGGAGAACGTTCTTCTCAAATAAACCTTGTTCCCTGCCTTTTTGATAGTCTTCAGCAGTGTATTTCCCAACTTTCATACTTATTCATTCTTTTCCTCTACATTTGACCACACAACGAGTATCTAGTTGAAGCCAAACACTTGCCACTCATAAGAAGCCTAAAAATTTACATCTTTGGCTCAATATTTTTATTTTACCAATAATTGAACAACAACAAATACTGGTTTCAGACAAAGATGATGAAAATGCCAAAACTAAGCAGCAACAGCAGGAAAAAAAACTTTAAAATGTCCATTTGTCAGCTAGTATGTGAATATTGAAATTCTATGGATAAGCAGCATCGTATAATTGTGTATATAATGAATAGAAGTGTAGATTTCATAGTTGAGGACTGCCTGTACTATAATAATATTCTTATAGGACTTAATTTGTGAGAGAAAAGGTGATTTGAGGGTGTTAATTTTTATTTGAGTAACCAGTTTCCAATGAGGGAAAAATCTGATTTTCTGTTTTCCCAAGATTTCCAAACATCTCAAAATAATAACCCCAGCCACCCAAGAAAGAGTGTATTTTGAAACTTAGAAATGGTTTTTCCATCATTAATTTCCATTCTCATTTCAAATTTTGAAGTAGGTGGAGAAAAATAGTTACTTTCCATCTGGCTGTCCTCTTGCCTGGGGAAGTTGTGCTGTCTTTTTTTTTTTTTCTTTTTTAGTCTGACAAGAACTTAATTGTGTGAGTGATCCATTCCAGATCTAGACATAACTCTCCCACCCTCTGACCCAGCCCAGAGACTAACTATCACAGAACAGCAGAGGAACTGTTTGACCTTTTGTCCCTCTCAGACAGGATCTGCCAGAAGCACCCCTCTACAATGTTATACATTCATACTCTCTATAAATTGAATCTAGACATTCGGGCATGACTGAACAGGCACTGAAGATGCAATTGGTGAGATGGATTAACTCTACTCTTCTTTAAATCTCTTGTTTCAGATAATTATAGATGAAAGATGCTTATTTGGATTGGATTGCTATTTATTCATATATTTATTTTAGTAAGTGGTGAGGCAAGAACATAAAAATGCAGAGTTGAAAGACAGATTGGCCTGGATTGAATTGATAAGAAATGTGTGGAGCTTTTTGGCTTCAGATCAATATTTGTATTCAGTCTGCAATCTAAAGTATGTATAATAAAAAGAAAACAGGTGGGAGTAATATCTGATTGTAGTTTCTTCCCAGTGTATAGCCCAAATTAAAAGAAAAAGCATTAAGGACAGACCTTAATCACCCGACACCAAAATGATTAATAGGACTTAGCATAAGATCTTATTAGATCATGGTCAACACGCCTCTAGAAACCTAGACATTCTGCCGTTACTAGGAGCCCTGGGTTGCCCTTCTAATCAGCTAAGGCTACAGTTAGCTCTTATGCAGTTTGGTTTGAAGTCCAGTGAATTTACAGCCATTATTAGCACACCGTGTGGGAGTTCCTAGGGGAACTTTGTGAAGAAGTCAGGAGTTTAGGTGGTTCCTAAACTGTCATTCAGGCAGCTATTGAATGAACATAGCTCATGACTCTTCAGTAACTTTATGCTACTTCTTTACTGCTCATAATTGTTATCATTTGAATGTTGCTTTACAGTTTACAAAATGGTCTGACGTATTCACAGTGTATTATAGGCCTTGTTCTTTTGTAGCCTACTATGCTTCAAATTCATTTGATTTAATAAAAGATTTTTTTGTTACAAAGATTGGTTATTAGAATTCCTAATATCAAGGAAGAGTAAGACTGCAAATAAGGTTCACCACTCTTAGCCTCCAGAGAAACTGAAAACCCAGAGCTTTGTAGTAACCAAAGAGTTTTGCATCTTCAGCCCCAGAGTTTAGTGGACGTGTTGCAAAACACACACTTTGGCCTCTGATGTCCTTGTTTTGCACAAGGAGAAGAGACTTAAGAGTGTGCAGGGAAATGACAATTGAGTTCAAATGCATTCTAGTAAAGAGAAACACTGATAATGGAATATAGAGCCCTGGACCCAACAGTGTACTTAAGCTTGCTATGCCTCATTTTTTTTTTTTATGAGTTTATATTCCTATTTGCCTTACCTTCCTCTTAGGAACATCCTAGTATATACATAGAAAGACAGATGAAAGAACTTTGGTGGGGATTATTAATATCCTCCCCCAAAGTGATTAACCTTTGATATGTCAGGATGATGCTCTGAGAATAGAAATGTGGTAGGCCCATCCAGCAGAGGTTTTTCATGCTACACATACACATAGAAACAGCTAGAAGTGTGTTTTGCAGAACCTGGGCTATTTGCAGCTGTGAATCTCTGACTTATAACCTCTGCACACTGGCTCAACAATAACCGCTTTGCTGTTTTTGTAGGATCCTGGATTTGAAAAATCTCCTAGAGATCTTATTTCTTCCCCTGTCTGTGATGTATAAACTATCCTCTCCTGTATTTTCCCAGCTCCTGGTAGTTCACCCCCTCACTATCCCTTAGGTGAATAGGAGCTCTCCACCTAAGAGAGAACTTTTCCTATCCTTGGAGAACTCTGACCTGATATTACCAAAACCTGTGTAATAAGTTAGAAACACAGCAACACCATTTCTTCTCCCCAGCCTTCTCCAGGATACAATCTCTGAAGCTGCTCAGATGGACAGTCTGCCCTTCTCTGAAGGGCTGCACCCCACTAGGGTTATTCATCAGGCAGTGGATCCTGAAAATGGGCCTTTCTCTTGGCAAAAAGGCTTCCCTCCACTGTCCACTCAGCCACTACCCAAGTATCCTAGGATACGAATCTTGATATTAGAAGAGCTTCAAAGTCTCCAGTGCCTCCTTGCCAGCTGTCTTACAGCCTGGAGAGGTGTAATAACTGCTGAGGAGTCCTAACTACAGGTTCAGAATGTTCAGGGCAGTCCCAACCCCCTTCATTTGAGGATCGCAGAAATGGATTTGGGACATACACACATTGGTTGTTGGAGAACAATACATTTTTTCACTGAAGATTCCCACCAATTCACATTTTCTTTGCAGTGCCCCGAAAGGCAGGAACTCATTCCTGTACAGTTAGGATACAGTGATCTCTTTAAGTGTAACTTCCATCTTCCACACTCTGCACTACAGGTTTTCACATCAGGAAACTGTTGGGTCAGGTTCCTGCCAGAAAATGTGGTAGATGTTCAGTGTCTTGGGAAGGGTATTAGACATAGAGGGAAAAGACTCTGATTTAAGTCTTGACGTTCTACTTTTGAGCTGTGGGACCTTGAGAAATTTATTTCATGGGTTTGAATAGGCATCTGCAGAATGAGGGTAGTCCTTATCGTACAAAGTATTATGAGAAACAAGGCTGTGTAAAAGGGTTTCATAAACTGCACAAATAGAAGATCTCCTGAGGGAAACCTTTTCAAAACTCAAAATCTGTATGAACTAAGATGTTTATTGCATGTTAAGTGAAATATTTTATAGCCATTAAAATTATAGAAAAAGTGTTAAAATGTTAAATTGTTGTTTGCAGTTACAATACTGTAAAATCTGTGTGTGTGGACTAGAAGCATCTGGGGAAAAAAATGAGATCAGCTTTTTCAGGGCAGTGGAACTGAGTACCTTTTTCTTTCAAAACCTCATTGGTGTTACTCAGTTCAGTAAACTTCCTGAGCACTCACTGTGCCAGGTCCAGTGCTAGACTCTGCAAAGACAGAGATAAATAGGACATGCTCCTTGCCAAAGGGACTCCCTTGCGTGCAGTCTTTGTGCACTGTGAATAGTAATCACCTGGGGAGCTTATTAAAAAATTCAGA